GCAGCGCCAGCTCCAGGTCTTGCAATTGTTCTGCTGACAATTCCCATAATACCAAGAGTTTGCATATAAGCCTTCATTAGAACCAACCAAGAGGCATAGTTCAAGCTGTTAAGCTTGGGGATCTGCTTTGAAAGACCTTCGGACATCTAGTGTCAAAAGTCCATAAGCAGATGTTCATATAAGAACAAGTGAGTCGGATGGATTTTAATGGATGGAGGATTTAATTCATGAATCCGATTCCTTTTTGGTCTGCAAGCAGATGCTCTAGCAGCTTGAGATGGATGTTTCCGGTGAAGTTTCGGAGTATAAGGACGAGGATTTCACCAAGGCTTATCAATAGGAGTACCTCTCTCAGTGAATCTCCATAAGGGGATGCGAGAGTTATTGTGCTCTAGACTTTCAAAGTCTAGTGGGGCGAAATAGTGGTAACTCAATAGAGGCCACTTGCAATTATGCAAAGGTTCGCCACCAGAGGTAAATCCCAAATAGGGATCAGCACAAGAGTATGGTACATTGATAGCAAAAATATGGTGAAAATGCGTATCTCGAATAAAAATTTCAAGAGCATTGTAAGACTTGTCAATAATACAAGTATTACTCCCCAAATGGTTTCGCCTGCCAGATACATACAGTACATCCATTGTACTTGGAAGAGGATAGTTTTTGACGTATGGCTCAAGCTTCATGAGCTTGGCTAAGAGCAGTAGTGCGTATTCCTCGAGGTCAGGGTTCTGCGAGATAGTCGAAATCATTTTTCTCCATGACATGTTCGAGATCACTAACAATCTCTGCTGTGCCGGGCCAGTAAGCGAATTCAGCGTTAATGGGAGAGTTACCCCATTGAAGATGCCTGTTAGAAGGCGAATATCGCAGGCTATCTCCCACATCGGCTTCATCTCTGAACCATCGTATAAACCTAAACAGACTGCTATCAAAGCAGTCTCCTCCACGTCTGCGTTCTTGGAACCATCTCGGCATGCATCTGATGTCTGTGGTCCTGTCCACCCAAACTCCTCGGAAATGGAACTCAAGATGTTGGTTCCAAGTGCAGAGAGAAGGGAGGATCCCACCAAAGCATGGGTTGTAGAGGGGGTGGACGTTGTAGTAGACATAGATGAAAGTATCATGGGTGACCGAGAATGCCAGAACAGTGTCGAGGGCAGGATCTTCATAGTATGCTGAGGGAAGATTGCAACCGTTGAAATTAGCAATTGTGTGAGGAGTCGACATATGAGAGAGTTTAGGGAAGAAATTGGTGAGGTAGCCATGAAACGCTAAATGAAGGCCGGGGTAGAAAAATGGAGATTCGAAACCAGGAAAGTGGGGCATTTGTTGCCACGCTGTTTCCATGGTATCGATAGGAACCAGGTACGTAGCCGGATTCGGCTTTTTGAAGTACACGACTGAGGAAGGTACTGCTTCTCTCCAAGTGGAACATCCCTGTACATATAACATCTCGGTATATTCTATGATCTCCTTTACTGCATACTTCTGCCACTTCACTTCATACATCCTGTCACATTGCTCAGCGATAGCGAGCTCAAGTTTTTTAGCAGTGACCAATGACATCTTTTTAGACCAATAGATTAGTTCCTGTTCTTTGAAGAACAGCCACAAACGAGTTAAAGTAAAGTGAACTCTGCGTTATCATCATGGATGACAGCGAGAACGTGCTCAGGTATGAGCAACTTGTTTATAGCTGCAACTTCCTCGGGAAGAGGAGTCAGCGCATGACGTGGAGAAGGCAGGTCAAGTGCTTCAACCTTGTCATACCATTGTGAGTCAAAGTGTGGTTCAGTGGTGAAAACCAACCAAAACCAACACAAAAGACAACAAAAGCAAGTGGTGGTGTGCCTATGTGGTACCTAGATGGTAGAACCTGTTCTTTGGGAGGGTTTCTGCGAGCTACAACACTCAAAGATGAGTGCTGAGGGTTGGGGGTGCTCCTGACAAAGAGGGAGCAAGAATGTGATAGAAAGCAATAGGGTAGACTGCTGTCAGCCTACAGAAGGATGGATGATGACTTAATTCAATGTCCTAAGCTGTACTGAGCTCAGGGAGGGCTTGGAGTGAAGTATATGGATGATAGATGATGATAAGTGAAGTAGATGATAGCTAGACCCTTAATAAAGTCTCAACTATCGAAGCTGATGAATGATTTACTGAGAGATGATAAATTGCAAGCAAGAGGGGCTCTCTGATGTCTTCTTTTTTTTTTTTTTGCTACCTAAGTACAGTGACTTATATACAGTACAGGGGCATTGCCTATGGAAAACAAGGTGCAAACACTTGGTAAGCAATTGGTAACTGATGAGTAAGGAGTGTAAGTGATGGGTAATCATCTTGGAAAGCATTGGTAAGCATTGGTAAGGATAAGTAAGCCAAAAAGCGAAGAATCAGTAAGCAAAGTCAAAAGATTGGTAAGTATTGGCAATAGGTGAGTCAAAGACAGTCAGAATGTCAAAGTATGAGTCAAGCAATGTCAGGAACTGGGAAAGTGCACTGGAATTGCATTAGGGGGAGGCTGTGCATGTCACATCTTGAAGAGATCGCTTCTAGGCCAAAGTGGGATGACAGAGAGGCAGCGCTGATCTGATGCCGATACAGTACATCCAAAAGCAGACAGGGTGAGTCAGATGTCAACAGGGGTCAAGCTTTGGGGGTCTGTGGGGTGACAGGAGCATAGGGGATTGCAACTTTCCCCCCCGAACCATCCTCTCAGTGAAGCAAATAAAAACTTCATGAATGAGGCTCTGTTGGAAGAGAGGATGAAGGGGGAGCATCTTCTGCTGTATCTTGCAACAAGGAGGCAAGATGTGCATCATACTCGTCATGGATGCGATCAGGGAGAGTGGAGAACAGTAGATTATACTGTAGCTGTCGCAATTTTGGAAGAATGATGGACAAGACTGGTATGAAGACGTTGCAGGTGGCAGGGAGGAAGGATCCATATGCTTCTTGGACCGGAGAGACTGAAACGACCACATAAGACCTTTCCAAGCAAATGACAGACCTGAGGCAACCAAAGAATGTCCTCCTGGAGGTCATACTGACAAAAAGAACACACTGTCCAAGCTGGATGGGCTGAGAGGGGGCAGATGAGGGTGGGATGTACCAGGACGCTTCAGGACGGAAGCTGGTAGGAACCCCTGGTAGATATATGTAGCCATGGTCCCTAGCAAAGGGGACAAGCGAAATGACTGATGTGGAGGCAGCCATATCAGAAGAATTAGCGAAATGAGCATCTTTTGGAGGGAGTGCTGTAGAAACGTGTGGAGTGCGCAAATCCTTTTCAATCTTGGAAGGTAGGATCGCGTGGCTGAGCACTACAAGCGAGTGTGGGAATGGTTTCGGTGTCTGCAGAATTGGTGGAGATACGTCGAAAACCGGAATGCTGTACACAGGCGCTTAAGAATTTTATTGGCGCTTAACTTGCCTCCTCCTTTTTCTTTGGCATTGACAACTTGTTCTTGTGCGAGGGATGACTGCCAACATTGCTGGCTGTCCTTCTTCGCATGAGGGCTATGGTCTTCACCTCCATTCATCAGCTACATCCATGTCCACCTCACCAAACACCTTTGGTGTGTGACACCATGGTACAGGATCTAGGTCAGTGTCGAAGTCAATATCGGGAAGATGAAAGTGGAGATAGTGTGGAGGCGGAGTAGGTGGTCGGCGAATAAGCCTTTGTAGTAAGGCCCTACGAACAACAGCGTCTTGGAGGATCTGTTGTCGTCGTCACCACCAGGCGGAGAGACCTATAAAGGAAAGCCAAAATGCAACCGAGTGGATAAAAAGCTTGTGCAGATGAATCAGATCATGACCACCATAATGAAGTAGAAGAACAGCCTGATTAAGGCCGAAAACAAGCGACATGGCGAAGACTACTACTACTGTCCCTAGCGCATCTAGGCCTACAGCATCCATCGTGATTTGCCCATCAGCAGTGATTGCTCGATGCAAATGTGTAAATAGCTAACTGCCTAGAAAGTGGGGCTCATAACCTATTGTGCAGAGGAACAGGAGAAATGAAGAGCAATAGACACGAACACTTGCCTTGTGTTAGAACAGTAGTAGATTTGAATATAAGCAACTTGTAGTTGAGGGGCTCAGTTGTCAAATAGACAAGTGAAGAATTGAATGTGGAATTTGGTTGGTTATTGGGGTAGAAATCCCCGAGTTTATATACATGAGTAGGTATGCATGGACCAGTAACGTAAAAGGAAACTACTACTCAGTATAGTAAAGAATAGCATGGAAGGTCATGGAATATGACATATAATATGATGTCATAATGACATCATTGTGGAGCTGATTGATAAGAAATGTCATGTGATGAACAATGTGTTGATACACATGTAAGTCTAGTTCAATCTAGACGTCAGAACTATTAAGATATTTCCAACAGACCCTGTTGAGCTCCATTCTCTTTGCATGCGAAGGGTTTCATTGTCTTCAGTTTCGTCCTTTCTGTGGCCCTCACCTTCAACCAGTATGTCAACCCCATCACCCTTGACACTCTTGGGTGGAAGTACTATGTAAGTTGTCAACCCTTTCTTCATTTCTCCAAGTCAATCTCCCTTAAAGCTTGTTTATCATCAGTAAATCACTTTGAGCTGTGGAGCTCTCCACAGTGCTCCATAATACACAGAGTCCCCTAGCTAGGTCCAGGCTGGACAGATGCACCCAACAACACTTTTTGCTATGGCTAGTTGCCTGTTACTATGGAATGGTCACATTGTCATGGAACTTTGTCCAGTATCTTACTTACTATGGATTGCTATGGAACTTTCATGCTTAGATATCACTGTACAAAACTGGCTAGACTGTATTCTCCTTGGGGTGTTGTCCAGTACTCCCCATCTCAATGTTTACTTTGCAAACATGTGATCACTCCACAACTAGGAACAGTTCACAGCAGGTATGACAGGAACAGGAGCATTGGCATCAATTGCATACTATGTGTAATGACAGGTACAACAGGACTAGGTATTATGAAATCAATCAAGGACTGCCTGAATGTGCTGGTACCTCTCTACATTCAAATCAACCTCTTGCAGTGCAGCCCTGATATGAGGAGTCAGCATGAGCATGTTGGCTGCCCCAGTACTTACCATCCTTCCTTTGCCCACTGAGAAAGCTGATCACACAACCTTGCACAGTGATAGGGATTATGAAGGATGTCATTCAGCACCTTCATCATGCCATGGAAAATGGAATTGTAAGCCTTGCTGGAGAATTGAGGCATCATCTTTCCTGTGCTGTTCTTCACAAATCTGTCCAACACACAATGATACTGCAAGAAAAGTTTGTGTTGCAGTGACTCAGGGTGTAAAATAACTCACTGTGGCTGTAACGAGAGCCAGACAGGAAAGGGGAACTGAATTGTTGAAGGACTCAGGATGCTTATCCATGATTTGATAGGTCCCAGTATAGTAGAATTGTATGACAGCTTCCTTGAGGGCAGGGTGAGCAAAATTCCTGGTTTTTCCCTGATAAACCAATCTGTTAGTAGTGCAGACAATGAACTGCATGAACATACATTCTTGTCAAAACTGTCTCACAGGAAAAGCGAGTTGTCAAGGAGCTTTGTGGCAGTGGTCTCTATCCATTGTACATGAACCTGTGGTGCAACATCAGAAGGAGGGATAAGGTTGAACATGGATGGCATGATTGCCAGCATAACCAACTTCAATTCTGAATGTCAGGTAGACCCCATGTAGTCCATTTAGTCACAACATATAGGTAGCCTGCATGCCAAAATGCCAACACTTATATAGACCCCACAATGGGCCCATCTAAATAGATTAGCCATGACACATGGACAGGCCTGAGGGCCTATAGTGAGAGCAACATATGTATGGGCCCATAAATGCAATTCCACAACATATGGGAGGGCCTGTGGAGGGTAAGGATGCTGCAACATATAGATGGGCCTGTGACCAAGTAAGTATGCTAATCAGTAATATCATTTACAGTGTCACAACACATAGACAGGCCCATCTAGTAAGATGCACCCATGTCACAACATAAAGACAGGCCTTTCAGCAATATCAATTACACGGTCACAACACATGGGTGGGCCTGTCAATAGCAACACATATGCCTGTTGCAACATAAAGACAGGCCCATCAGTAATATCATTTACAGTGTCACAACACATAGACAGGCCTGTCAGTAATATCAATCACACAGTCACAACACATGGATGGGCCTGTCAATAGCAACATGTATGCCTGTCACAACATAAAGACGGGCCCATCAGTAATATCATTTACAGTGTCACAACACATAGACAGGCCCATCTAGTAAGATATGCCGTCCCAACATAAGGATGGGCCCATCAGTAATATCAATTACACAGTCACAACACATGGACAGGCCCATCAATAGCAACATGTATGCCTGTTGCAACATAAAGATGGACCCATCAGTAATATCATTTACTGCATCACAGCACATAGACAGGCCCATCCAGTAAGATGCACCCCTGTCACAACATAAAGATGGGCCCATCACAACACATGGGCAGGCCCATCCATAGTAAGATGTACCTGTCGCAACATAAAGACAGGCCCTTCAATATATATCATTTACAGGGTCACAACACATGGACGCCCATCTAGTAAGATGCACCCATGTCACAACATAAAGATGGGCCAGTCAGTATTATCAATTACATTGTCACAACAGATGGATGGGCCTGTCTAGTAAGATATGCCCCTGTTGCAGCATGAGATGGGCCTGTCAGTAATATCAATTACATGGTCACAACACATGGATGGGCCTGTCAATAGTAACATGTATGCCTGTTGCAACATAAAGACAGGCCTGTCAGTAATATCATTTACAGCATCACAGCACATAGATGGGCCTGTCTAGTAAGATGCACCCCTGTCACAACATAAAGACAGGCCCATCAGTAATATCATTTATAGCATCACAACATATGGAAGGGCCCTTCAGCAGTATCATTTATGTGGTCACAACATAAGGACGGGCCCTTCAGCAGTATTATTTATATGGTCATAACGTATGGACAGGCCCTTCAGTAATGTCTTTCATATCACCATAAAACAAGGACAGGTCTGTCTAGTAAGATCCACCCCTGTTGCAACATAAGACAGGCCCAAAACCAATAGCACATATAGCATCACAACATATTGATTGGATCACAGCAAAATATTGAGGCAAGTGTCCCAACATGCTGTAATTTTCCAACAAGCTGCAAGTGGCTTGCCCACTATACAACTCTGACCTCATCTGCCCCAAGCATGAATACTATGCAAGACATGTCTAAAACCCCCCACAGATGGTGAATGGAACTAACAGACTGCATTGTGTCATACATGAAAGCCAGATTTCAAGAGGAGGTATTCAGCAGACCTTGTGCCCTTCCAGATATATTGATTCTGTTTCCAGTGTTATGTGAAGTGGATCACATATTGTCAGTAATCTCACAGGCCTATCATTACCCAAGTAAGTCCATCATAATGGTGCAATGGAAGTTTTCATCTTTCTGCAGTCAATGTCAGGAAAAATCGGGGTGGAAAAACCTGCAATGCAGAAGCTGCTGAGAGATACATGGAAGTGACTGAGCCATCCATTCTGGTGACCAACTCAAACACCATCTGCATTTGGTATTTGCTGGATGCTCTCAGCCCAAAAAGAAGGGTAAGGGAATGCAGAATCTCATATTCTACTGACTTAATGCAATGGCAGGCCAACATATGGAACCACCTTCATCTTCTGAGGGAACCACTGCAGGAGAGCATAAAGGCTTCCCCACAGGCATGGTGGATGGACAAGTCATATCTCTGCAATAATGCTGAGTTGAAAGGTGCCATCAACCTGTCACCTGCATGGTTTCAACAGGGTCATGGGGTGGGTGATCATTTCTTTCCTTGTGAATAAAGTGCTCATCTGTCTTGAAGCCCCAAAATGGCTTCCCAGAAGCCTCATGGCTGCTCAAATCCAGGACAGAAAACACTTCTACAAGGGAATGGGTCGACCAAATGTCCAACACCAATGCCCTGTTATTTGCAATCCTGCATGTCATCCATCTATGAATGTATGCAGATGGCAGGGAAGCATTGATCCACCTTGGCAAACAGGCAGAACAACAGGTGGATTCAGATATGAGCTCCATACTGCCAATATGGAGCTCCATGTATAGCAGCATGTCCATGATGGTGAATCAGGCAACTTGTTACCACAGGGATGTCAATGGATGGGATCCATGGTATGACATGCTGGTAACTGTGGGTGACTACCTGCCCTTGGACTTTGTCATTCCAATGTTGAATCTGCAGCTGTGCTACAACCCAGGGATGATCATTGCATTTTCAGGTTCAGCACTGGAGCATGGGGTGGGAGCTGTAGACGGTGACAGCATGCCTGGTGTACTACATGCATGCCAATGTACATCAGTCAGTGCATGTTCCCATGTGTCAATCACTGTGGATGGATGACCTACTACCTAGACCAGTTGCAACTGGACAACTGTTGATTTGAAGCTGCAAAATTTAATGTAAGATTTAGTAGGCAATGTGGATCTCGTATTTCATTAGGATATGCTGGTTCTTGAACTTTGGATGGGTGGTGTTGCCAAGATTTTGCAAATGGGTGGGTGCTTCAACATCATAGATTGGGCAGGTACTCAGAGCTAAAGGGTGTGCATCATAAACTGCAAAAAAAATAAACCTACTCAGGCCATCATGCAGATGGGCAGATTGTTGGACATTGTGCAGATGGGTGGGGGTTCAGACATCATGTGAATGGGCGGCATCTCATAAATGATCAACATTTACAGCAATGTATATTCAACCAACTCCACAGTCAAAAACATGTAAACTATTGAAGCAGCATGCCCAACAACCCATGCAATGCCCACCACCTAGCATAGAAATGGTCAATTTGTCGACCCCAACCATTGACAACATCAGCATATTTCCAAATATTTTCAATGCAGTAGTTTACCTGCTCCTCAATATGGCCATCAAGATGGTCTGCAATTGGTGCCTCAGGCAATGGCCATAAGCCCTGGGCCATCATCAACTATTTGCAGTGACAAGAATAAGTGGCATACCTTAAAAAAATCCCAGGCCATGGAAAACAATCCCTTGCCTTGCAATCTTTGGGAATCTGCTGCATGTGGGGTCCAATGCAGGATGATGGTGCTGATATTGTCAATTATGCTAAATGCGCTAAGGGGAATTAGCTGCATTTGATCGTGGAAGCTAACCTCATCATCTTGGTGTCTGAGGTACACATGGTAGCATGCTGGGAGGGGAGGAGTATAACTGGCATGCAACACTGTCACCAGAATCAAGCTATTAAGCTGATTCTGAAGGAATTATGTATCAGTCCCACATTGTGAAAAATTGATGTAAAACCTACCAAGTCCATTGCTAGGTTTGCAAACCAATGCACAGGCCATCCCACAATATTGGCAGTCTGCTTCAGATGTACAGAGGCCACCTCAATCCAGCATGCCAAGTAGAGGATACTCATCTCTACCACAGACTGGTGAGATGGGTGTGATTGGCTGGCAATGAATGGCTTGGGACAATTTTCAAAGGTGGAATGCAGATAATGAATGACTTCCATCAAATTGAGCATATTGATGAGTTGAAGGCCCTGAGAGGCTGCACCATACTGGTTCCTTGCAGCTGTGCCCAATTCTCTCACAATGGCATTCACAGCCTGCACAAGGTGCCTATCAAGGGTGGGATCAAACGGTGTGTCACTGGGAGTGGTGTTTCTGTGATAGTGAGATACTGCAGCATGTAAGGCATGCAGGACTAAAATTATCAATGTCAAAGGCATATCAGATTAAGCTCATGCCCATACCTTGATCGCATCATGGAACAGGTGCCAATCCCCATTGTTCCATTTGAAGAGATTGCTGTGCGGTATCACACACCAAAGGTGTTTGGTGAGGTGGACATGGATGTAGCTGATGAATGGAGGTGAAGACCATAGCCCTCATGCGAAGAAGGACAGCCAGCAATGTTGGCAGTCATCCCTCGCACAAGAACAAGTTGTCAATGCCAAAGAAAAAGGAGGAGGCAAGTTAAGCGCCAATAAAATTCTTAAGCGCCTGTGTACAGCATTCCGGTTTTCGACGTATCTCCACCAATTCTGCAGACACCGAAACCATTCCCACACTCGCTTGTAGTGCTCAGCCACGCGATCCTACCTTCCAAGATTGAAAAGGATTTGCGCACTCCACACGTTTCTACAGCACTCCCTCCAAAAGATGCTCATTTCGCTAATTCTTCTGATATGGCTGCCTCCACATCAGTCATTTCGCTTGTCCCCTTTGCTAGGGACCATGGCTACATATATCTACCAGGGGTTCCTACCAGCTTCCGTCCTGAAGCGTCCTGGTACATCCCACCCTCATCTGCCCCCTCTCAGCCCATCCAGCTTGGACAGTGTGTTCTTTTTGTCAGTATGACCTCCAGGAGGACATTCTTTGGTTGCCTCAGGTCTGTCATTTGCTTGGAAAGGTCTTATGTGGTCGTTTCAGTCTCTCCGGTCCAAGAAGCATATGGATCCTTCCTCCCTGCCACCTGCAACGTCTTCATACCAGTCTTGTCCATCATTCTTCCAAAATTGCGACAGCTACAGTATAATCTACTGTTCTCCACTCTCCCTGATCGCATCCATGACGAGTATGATGCACATCTTGCCTCCTTGTTGCAAGATACAGCAGAAGATGCTCCCCCTTCATCCTCTCTTCCAACAGAGCCTCATTCATGAAGTTTTTATTTGCTTCACTGAGAGGATGGTTCGGGGGGGAAAGTTGCAATCCCCTATGCTCCTGTCACCCCACAGACCCCCAAAGCTTGACCCCTGTTGACATCTGACTCACCCTGTCTGCTTTTGGATGTACTGTATCGGCATCAGATCAGCGCTGCCTCTCTGTCATCCCACTTTGGCCTAGAAGCGATCTCTTCAAGATGTGACATGCACAGCCTCCCCCTAATGCAATTCCAGTGCACTTTCCCAGTTCCTGACATTGCTTGACTCATACTTTGACATTCTGACTGTCTTTGACTCACCTATTGCCAATACTTACCAATCTTTTGACTTTGCTTACTGATTCTTCGCTTTTTGGCTTACTTATCCTTACCAATGCTTACCAATGCTTTCCAAGATGATTACCCATCACTTACACTCCTTACTCATCAGTTACCAATTGCTTACCAAGTGTTTGCACCTTGTTTTCCATAGGCAATGCCCCTGTACTGTATATAAGTCACTGTACTTAGGTAGCAAAAAAAAAAAAAAGAAGACATCAGAGAGCCCCTCTTGCTTGCAATTTATCATCTCTCAGTAAATCATTCATCAGCTTCGATAGTTGAGACTTTATTAAGGGTCTAGCTATCATCTACTTCACTTATCATCATCTATCATCCATATACTTCACTCCAAGCCCTCCCTGAGCTCAGTACAGCTTAGGACATTGAATTAAGTCATCATCCATCCTTCTGTAGGCTGACAGCAGTCTACCCTATTGCTTTCTATCACATTCTTGCTCCCTCTTTGTCAGGAGCACCCCCAACCCTCAGCACTCATCTTTGAGTGTTGTAGCTCGCAGAAACCCTCCCAAAGAACAGGTTCTACCATCTAGGTACCACATAGGCACACCACCACTTGCTTTTGTTGTCTTTTGTGTTGGTTTTGGTTGGTTTTCACCACTGAACCACACTTTGACTCACAGCGGATGGAAGATCACCTACATAATCAATGGATATCACTGATCACATGAATAGAACCAAATCAATGCTCACCATTGCATATTTCCTCGAAAAGATCCCTCATCTCTGATTGTTCGGGCATGCCAAAAGTCAAATGGTTTGTGCCATTGTCCTCATCTGCTGCCAAGTCAAAAGATTCAATGGGTACATTTGAAATGAGTCGGGGAGGCATTGGTTCCCTCATATCCTGCAATTGAGCAAGCAGGTTAGTTGGAGAATCAGGTCAAGGAGATCAGTCCCTCAGATTTGATGATTCACAGGTGATGGGCAGAGGAGATGGTTCCTGCACATTCTGCAAGTCTGCCAGAAAATTGACCTGCATAGTAACATCTTGTGCAGGTGTTGAAGACCCATCCATCCTGGTTAATTTCTTGTGCATGACTGGTGGTGCTGATGGTTCCCATGCATTCAGCAATTGCTCAAGTAGATCCATGTTCATACCATCCACTGGGGGAGCAGTTGGTTCCCATTCATTCAGGAACCAATTCATCAAGTTGTCATGTGGATCTATTACTAGAAAATGAGTTTGTTTGTTAGCTTGAAGGGCAATCATGCCAACTCACCAGCCATGATTCTGCCCTCTGCCAGAGCAGTTGGCTCCCTTTCCTGCAGGAACTGATCCACCAAGCTTTTGCATGAATCTATAGTGAAAGAATGTTTGTTGTTTAGCTTGGAGAGAAATCATGTTCACTCACCAGCCATGATATCCATGTTTGACCCCACCATATCTGCCCATCCACTTGAGACAATTGGTGGAGGGGTTGGCTCTTGCAACTCATGCAGTTGTACTAGCATCTCCTCCAGATTTTTGGACTGCTTCATGTGGGAGCTAGATTGCCTTGGCTCAATTGGTCTTACATTAGCTGTGGATGGCTTAGGTCACTGGATCCAACAATGAAGACAACCTCACCTTGAAAATGGAAATGAACTTGGCAGGACTGTTTGGCAGACATATTTGACAATGATGGTTTCACTGATAGGTCAATGATCAATCAAGATTTAAACTTGTAGGAACAATGGCAAGAATATCATTCACACTGTGGGAAGCAAGGTTGGACAATGGCAGACAGAGCCAAATTTTGGGTAACAGCAATACATGGGAGATGAGCAGAAATATCTCCCTACATAGATAGCTACCAGTCACTTCCACATGGCCAATATGTGGACCTGTCCTGCTCAGCTCTCTGCTCAATTGTCATGCTCAACCATCCCACTTAACTATCCCTCTCTCTGATATCAAAGATGCCTCTCACAACCACCATGGTGTCATGAGCTACTGTACATGCCATACACTTGTATTCTAATGTGTCACACTAGGCTAAGCCCTCTATAGACCATGCACAAGTTCCAAAAAAGGTTTCTGCTCTGACTGTTTGAGGGATTCGACAACTACTTCTGCTTCTGATTGCTGCCTGTTTGCTTGCATGATCTCTTTGCATCAGGAGATGGAACATCTGCATCTGGCCTTGCAGGGGCCTTTCTGACATGAGATGACTTCCAGGTGCTCCCAGGGACCCCCTGTTTCACATTTGCAGATGCTGCATTGGTGGTCACAGATCCATTATGGTTGGACTTGGATGAGTATTTGGCCCCAGGTCGACATCAATTCATGTCTGGCTCACTAGATTCTGACAGAGCCTGCTTAATATACAGTGCAAACTTGTTAGCCATAACAGCTGATTCAACATGACTGAACTTGCCTGGTGTGTGCACTTCAGGGCAGATTTCAGCTTTCCACCATTTTTTCTGCTCATTGACCCCTCCTCAGTTGGGTGGTCAGTGAAAGGAATGCTCTCCAATCCATCTTCATCTGCATATTCTGAGTGGTCCTGTAGTTCAGTTGTGTACTCGTTCCCTGAGTGCAGATCAGGGTTTGCTGTGAATACAAGTTACAGTGGGAAGCTCACTATTCAGGGATGTTGCCATTTTCTTTGAATTGGATAGGGTGGGCAAATAAGTGTCTTCATCAGCTTCATCATCAGAATCATGGCCATTGCTTTCCTGCCCATTATAGTCAGTTAGCACTTTATTTTTCAGACAATGCACTGGGGTCTTTGCATGGGCTGGAGGTGCAGAGAGCTGCTCACTATGGGAACCATCAGCTGGTGGGGGATTTGAGTGGGAATGAGAAGGGAATGGTGTCTTGGCATGGTTTTGCCTCCTGCCAGATACCTGAAGACCAGAATCACTTTAGTGCTGATCTGTTGTGCATGAAAATCACACATGGCACACCTTTTTAGTAGAGGGACCATCTGTTCCAACATCACTCACCTCAGCCTTGCCATGATCATCCAAACTATCATCCACACTGTCATCTGTGCTATCATCCATGCTATCATCCATGCTATCATCTGCTACTCCCTCTTCCTGCACTTTACCCTTGCCCTTGACATTTTTCCTTCCAGGATTCTTTTTGCATTTGGGGGCAGGTGTCTTTTGGTATTTCTGCTGCCTCACAACCTGGAGGGGTACCAAAGTTCTATCCACTGGTGGCTGCAGCTCACCAGATCAATCAATCCATTTCTGAAATCCAAACACATCATTTGGATGGGATTCCTGTCACTTGCACCAAAAGGACAGTAGCTGGGTAGCTGTTGTCATCCACATGTGACTTGGGTCATGGTTGAAGGTAAATCCTTCAGGAAGATGGTGGGCTGCTATCATTTCCACTTGATGATGACTGAAATTCTTGAATGGCACTGCTGACAAGGGATTTCCACATGCTAATCCTGATAGCACTCATCAGAGATTGAGGACAATAAATACTCTGGCCACTCACAGTAGTGAGCAGTCACAAATCCATGAACCATTTTTTGTAGTTGGTCCCAGCTAAGGCCCACAATTTCTCCTATCTAAATCTCTCCATTGGCATTTTTCACCAATTTCACAGAGTCAACCTTGCCCATCCTCACTGCTTTGGCTGCTGTCCTTTTCCAAGCATGTTCAGGACTTGACTCACCATCATGCTTGGGCAGTGTTCCTGGTTCCTCAATTGTTTCCCCAAGGTACTCTCACCAGCTTCCTTCCAGTGTGTGGACATCATTGAAGGGGATCCCATCTGCAATTTTGTTATTGAAGTCCATACTGTCATTGCATGGGTCTTACCTAGGCCTAGAGGAGAATATGGTGGACTCATGTGCATGACTTCTACCAATCATGATCTATATCTACCTCCAGTTCTC